CCCATCCTGTGCACCTGCTCGGGGAGACGGCCGGTCGCCGGCACTGGGCTCCCAGAGGCCTGTGTGGGCGCGTGACCAGCCGCGGGGTAGCTCCGACTTGGGCTGTAGACAGAAACCTTTTAGCTGCTCCTGTGTCCGCGGGAGTCAGACTCCGAGAGATGGGAGAAGAGCGCACGCTCGGTGCTCAGGCCCTTGTTGTTTACTCGGATTTCGTGTTGATAGAGTCGGTGGTTTGGGCAGACGACTTGGATAAATCTTCCAGAGCTTGTATCTTATTCCGGGTTCACAGCAAGCCCTTCATGTGCAGATGCGTCCGTTGGCGGTCCTAAGAGGGCTCCGGGGGTCCTGGCCCTCCCCCCTGCTGTTACTCGGTGGAATTAAAGCATCTCACCGCCTTTGAGGAGGGCCCTGGGGACATGGTGGTCTGAGGGCGTCCTTGAAGCCATCAGAGATGTCTGCAGAGCTGCCCTGATGTTAATGGTTTTAATTGAAGCACACTGAATTCTTTTCCTTAATCCACTTTCCCTCCTCCCTTCCCCAACTCCCACAGACCCTCAAAGCCCTGGAATTGTGCAGAGTATTTCTGTCCCATGGATACACAATCCTATGTAATAAAAGCCTAATATGCTAAGTGTCTGGTTGTCCAGTCAGCCGTTCAGCCAATCAGAGTGAATATGCTAATGATAGGCTAAGGCCGCTCAACTGCTCGCTATGACGTGTGCTGACCACCAGGGGGCAGATGCTCCGACTGGTAGGTTAGCTTGCTGCTGGGGTCCGGCCGATCAGGACTGAGCAAGACAGACGGACACATCTGGGACCTCAGGGGGATGTCAGAGAGCCGGTTTCGGCCCGATCCCGCAGGCCAGGCCGAAGAACCCCACTGGTGCACGAATTCGTGCATCGGGCCTCTAGGACGATTATAAAATGAAGGGAGAACTGCGAATCCTCTCTTAGAACAGCTATTCCCACACTTTCTCCCCTTGCACCTCTACCCGCGGAGAGGTTGTCGGGATGCAGGTCCCGGAGATGGAGGAGATGAGATGGCGTGCGTCTCATGATCATGTCCCCAGGGCCATGGGCCTCCCGGGACTCCGTGTGTGGGGGCCTGGAGGACGGAGTTGTGCTTGAGGAACCTGTGACTCACTGGGTGTCTGTGTTCCCCCAGGAGGACTGGAATGACATTGACCCGATTAAGAAGAAAGACCTGCACCACAGCAACATGGAAGAGAGAGGACAGAGCGTGGAGACCCTCCCTCCAGGTACGGCCGCACCGGGGCCCGGCCAGCCTCCGGCGGGCGGCTGGGGGTCAGGAAGTCCGTTTGCCACCAGCTGGGAATGAGCCGGAGGTGGCAGGGGAGCATGGGGCCTGTGGGGTGGAGTCTGGGCTTCACGGGGCAGGCAGAGAGCGGGGTTTGCCGACTTCCTTCGGGCCCATCAGTGGGCGGTGAAGTGCGTCTGCCGGGAGGTGACCAAAATCTGTTGAAAGGAAAAGTAGAATGAAATAAAAAACATAGGATGGTATGTACCAAGTCACAGCGTTTTAAAATACATATTTTTATTGATTTCAGAGAGGAAGGGAGAGGGGGAGAGAGAGAGAAACATCCGTGATGAGAGAGAATCATGGACCGGCTGCCTCCTGCACGCCCCACACTGGGGATGGAGCCCGCCACCCAGGCACGGGAATCGAACCGTGACCTCCTGGTTCATAGGCCGACGCTCAACCACTGAGCCACGCTGGCGCCTGGCCGACAACGACATTTAGACACGTCACACACAGAGGAAAACGCAGCGCTTCCCTTTAAACTTTAGAAAGGAAAGGGCTGGCTACTCCTTGATTTCAAGCCAGGTGTGCACCTCGCGATGCAAGCCAGACCGTGTCATGGTGTTTTTTTAAGTTATTTTGATGGCACAAATAATTTTATATATACATTGAGCGTATTTAACCCGTAACATCCATGTTTTTTATTTTCTTATATTTTCTATTAAATAGTTTTTAGCCACTTTTTAAATTTTCTATTTTTTTTTTTCATCCTTAAAAATGAACTGTGGCCCTGGCCAGTTTGTCTCAATGGTTAGAGCGTCCGCCCTCAGATCGAAGGGTCACGGGTTCGATTCCCAGTCAAGGGCATGTACCTCGGTTGCAAGCTGGATCCCCTGCCGGGGTCAGGGTACATGTGCGAGGCAACCAGTAGGTGTGTCTCTCTCGCATCAATGTTTCTCTCTCTCATCCCCTCCTCCCTCCCTTTCACGCTCTCTAAAAATCAATGGAAAAAGGCCTCAGGTGACAATTAAAAAAAAAAAAGAATTGGGCAGGATCCTTCTTTCAGAAGACAGTTTCTCACGGGGGAGCGAAGTTCTCCCTATCTCGCCCGTGACACATAACGATCTTTGCGGCCCCCGTCATTTAAATGGATATATTTGTTTGTCATCCTGGCGTCTGTTTCATGCTGTCGCCTAATGACCTTTTAGAGGGAGAATATCGGGGATTTTTTTTTCCCTTTTAAGCATAGTGAAATGGCATTCAATTGGCCGCCGACCAGGAGGCCATAAATAAATCTGAGAGCTTTGTCCTTTGATTTAAAATATATTCTCTTAAAAAAAATTTCCCTTCTGCCACTTTCCCAGAAGCGGCTGCTCCTTGTCCACGGGGTTTGCAGTTCATTAAGCCCGTCTTCCCCGGAGGGTTGGAGGGAAGACGTGTAGTTCAGTCAGGAGGCCAGTGCAGAATTGTGAGTCTTCTGCTGTCCCGGCCCCGTGGGACCCGCCCCGGCCAAGGCATTCCCTGCCCTGGTCCACCTGCGGGGGGTGGCAGGTGTCTGCCCTCCTGAGGGGGCATCTGTCAGGGCCCAAGAGGTCTCCAATCTGAGACCCATGTGTGTGACTCTGAGCACTTGCGTGTCCACGTGTTTCGTGGTGTTAATCCTTGGAAGGTTCGTTTTCATAGATTTGCATTATTGTTCCTTTATTTGTTTTTAAAATATATTTGTATTGATGTCAGAGAGGCGGGGAGAGGGGCGAGAGAGAGAGAAACATCCATGATAAGAGAGAATCATGGATCGGCTGGGTTTCATCGCCCCGCACTGGGTTTGGAGCCTGCAACCCGGGCACGTGCCCTTGACCGGGAATCGAACCCTGACCTCCTGGCTCGTAGGTTGATGCTCAGCCACTGAGCCACGCCGGCTGGCCGGGCTGGGCGCTGATCCTGGATGTGGCACTGTCCCCGGGGTGCGCCCTCCCACTGGTCTCTGTGCCCCGTCCCACGCCCTCTGCTCTGCTCCTCACAGGCAAAGTGCGGTGGCGAGACTTCAACCAGGAAGCGTACGTCGGGGGGACCATGGTCCGCTCCGGGCAGGACCCCTACGCCCGCAACAAGTTCAACCAAGTGGAGAGCGACAAACTGCGGATGGACAGGGCCATCCCCGACACCAGGCACGACCAGTGAGTACCGAGTGGGTGTGACCTGGGCCGCCTGCTTCCCACGGCCCCACCCGGGCAGTGGCTGTCCCTGCGGCGACGCTCACCGTGGCGGCCGCCCTGGGAAACGGAACACTGTGGTGTCTTCGCTGGGCAGTCAGCGTGGACCGACTCGGAGGCGCGTGGCAGTGGACCTGCCCCCGCAGGAGCGAGGACCCGGGCGGGGCCGGATTCTAGTCCAGGTGCCCGTGGCCGGACCTGGAGGCTGGGTTGCTGGCCGGCACGTGGGAACCGGCAGGAGAAAGTTGTGTTAAAATATACTCACAAAACAAGCATAATTTTCCATTCCTTTTTAAAAATATATATATTGTATTGAATTCAGAGAGGAAGGGAGAGAGAGAGAGAAACATCCATGATGAGAGAGAAGCATGGATCGGCTGCCTCTTGCACGCCCCACACTGGGGATGGAGCCCCCAACCCAGGCCTGTGCCCTTGGCCGGAAATCGAATCCGGGACCCTTCATTCCTTCAGGCTGATGCTCTATCCACGGAGCCACACCAGCCAGGGCTGCCGTGTCACATACAGAAATTTTTTGATCTTTGCAACCATAGTAAAACAAAGACTTCTATTTTTGTTATTTATTTTATAGATTTAAATGCCATTTAACAAAGAAAAATCAACCAAAAAAATGAGTTCACATGTCACCTCTGACACGCGTGTCACAGGTTCGCCACCACTGAGCTAGAGCCGTAATTGTCCATTCTTCCCAGCCCTGTGGGAAGGAAAAAAACGTAAATTCTTGCTTATTGGGACAGTTCGCGTTGGAAAAGGTCTAGATAAGCGGTTCTCAACCTGTGGGTCGCGAGCCCTTTGGGGGTCGAACGACCCTTTCACAGGGGTCGCCTAAGACCATCGGAAAACACGTATATAATGACATATTGTTTTTGCGATGAATCACTGTGCTTTCATGATGTTCAATTTGTAACAATGACATTGGGGGTCACCACAACATGAGGAACTGTATGAAAGGGTCGCGGCCTTGGGAAGGTTGAGAACTGCTGGTCTAGAGACTAGCAGGGCAGCAAAGAGCCCAGACGGGGAGACACACACTCTCTCTGCCACCAGCCTGAGGTCTGACGGGAGCAGCTCTTGTCCGCGTCCCTCTCTGGGGATCGGGCACCTGTGGGTGGAGGGCACCCGCGTTTCACAGACTCAGCTCGGGAGGTCTCCAGGCATCTGTCCTGAGCCGTGTCACCGTGGGAAAGTGCTACCCTCTCTCTGCCTCTGAGTCTTGCTGGTTGGGATCTTCTCCCGGGAGACGGTTCCCGGGACCCTTAGCCGGCCGGTTGTGGTCAGGGGAAGGAGCCACACGCGGGGCCTGACAGGTGCCTGGGTGCTGGCCAGTTCCTGTGAGAGTCACTCGCCATCACGGAGGGGAGCGAGGGGTGCGTCTGCTGAGGCTCAGGGGCCGTGCGTGGGCCCTGGGGTTTCAGTCCCCACGGGTCCCAGGTGCATGCACCCCCACCACCCTCCCTCCAGGGCACGTGGCACCCGGACTGTGCCACCCGCCTCCCCTGCGCCCCACGCCCCGGCCCGTTCATGCCGCCCTCACATGCTGCTGGGCACGGAGGGCGTCCCCATTGCACGGAGAGCGACCCGAGGTCCTGCGGTGGCCACAGCGTGCCTGGTGATGAGGAGCAGTGACCTAGAGCTGAAAGGGTCCGTGTGAGTGTGGAGAGGGGCCTGGGCCCTAACTCAGGACGGGGGTGAAGTCCCAGCCGAATGGGGCGCAGAACCCCTCCCTGGGGCCGGGCTCCCCGGCTTGGTCACGTTCCCCTGAGATGGTGTGAGTCTCGTTTCTCCGTTCGGTGTCAGGGCCCATGTCCCTGCTGCGGCTTGTCCGGTGAGAGCCGAGAGCGGACGGCGTGCTGTCTGACGGCCCGTCAGGCGTGCTCTCTCGCAAGTCCCTTAAAAGTTCCCCAAACTATACATATGTAATTTTTTTTTTCAGTGTTTGAAATAGGGAGTTTATCCAAGCAGATGTTTGAACAGTCCTCCCCTGGTGGGGTGCGTTTGAGGTGGGTTTAATTTTAGTGCCAGCTACTGTCGGTGCATTTGCATGTGTTAAAGGAGCAGCTGGGACGCCTTCCGTTTGTGTGGGGCTGAGGCTAAATTAAAGCCCCCCCACCCCCCCAGAGTCAGTTGGCTGCCAGGGCATCCTGTCCTCAGAGTATAAGCCCTAGAACCCCATTCTTTTTAAAACTATAGATATATAAAGTTTATTATTATTATTAATATTATTATTATTGATTTCAGAGAGGAAGGTTAGGCAGTTTAGGTTTCCAGGAAAATGGAGTAGGAAGCACAGAGAGCTCCTCGCATGCACCCCCCTCTCTATTTTATATATATATATATTTTTTTATTTTATTTTTGTTTTACAAAATTCCAACTTGAGGGCCGGCATTTCAGTCCTGGGCTGTGCTGTGGAGTCTCGCCAGAAAGGCAGGGTTGACGTCAACTGTTTGAAAAGAGGGGCTCATCAGGATTAAGGGCTGTGGGGAAAGACACAGCCAGCTTCTCCTCGGGACTCGGGAAGAATAAACATTGCTGAGGCCAAGAAAAAGTTAACATAAACGCAGCCCCGTGGAGGGACGCCTCAGCGAAGGCAGCGATTATGGGGCTCAGAGTCTTATTTTTAGGGGAGAGGAATCGGGGAAAACAGCAGACGCAGGCCCTGGCCAGGGTGGCTCAGTGGATAGAGTGTCGCCCCACACACTGAAGGGTCCCGGGTTCGATTCCGGTCAAAGGCACATGCCTGGGTTGCGGGCTTGATCGCCCCAGGAGAGGGCGTGCAGGAGGCAGCCGATCAATGATTGTCTCTCATCATTGATGTTTCTATCTCTCGCTCTCTCTCTGAAATAAATAAAAACATATTTTAAAAAATAAATAAGTAATAAATATTGCCCTTCTATCAGCTCGTTGCATTCCTGGCTTATCAGACCCTAAGATCAATGAGCACTTGTGCTATTTCCCGCACAGCGGGCAGACCCAACCCTCTGCCCTCTGCCCACGCTCCTCTGCCCTCATGCTCGTGCGTCCCGTGGTTGACGTGTAAACTCCACGGGACTGCTTTCTCTGTCTCAGGCCGTCCGTGGGTTCAGATCTGTCCACATGTGTATGTTTCTGTGTCCCGCCTGCGATTGTTTTCCCAGTTCGCCGTCTGCGTATGTCTGCGTGTCTCTCTCTCTCTCTCTCTCTCAGTGCCCGTTTGCCGGCGGCGAATTCAGTCTTCTTTTTTTTTCTCCGTCTGAAAACATCTTTATTTCACGTTCACTCTTGAAGGGTCCTGTCCCTGAGTGAGGCACTGGGGCTGACGGCGACCTGGCGCTTCTCACTGTCGCCCCACTGTCTTCGCTTCCCCCGCTCCAGTGAAATAGCAACCAGATCTTACCGTGTGACAGCACTTTGATTTTTTTTTCCTTGAAGCTATTTCTCTTTCTCTCTGGTTTCCAGCGGCGTGTCGACAACGTGCCTGGATTTTTTTTATGGATATGGAAGCTGTTTGGGGTTTTTGCAGGAGTTTCTGTGTCCGTTTAGCTTGGGCCCTGTTTTATCTCCCCTCTCCCTTTGGACCCCTAATTGCAACTTCATCAGGGGTGTCCCCGGGTCCCCCTGTCCCTCTCATGTTCTCTTCTGTGTTTTCAATGTATTGGTTATTCCCTGGGCTACAATCTAGATGCAATTCTACTGGCCTGCCTTCTGTCCCCGGGTCCGCTCCTCTATCTTGAATATATCTTTTATATATATATATATTTTATTGATTTTTTTACAGAGAGGAAGGGAGAGAGATAGAGAGTCAGAAACATGGATGAGAGAGAAACATCGATTAGCTGCCTCCTGCACACCCCCCAGTGGGGATGTGCCCGCAACCCAGGTACATGCCCTTGACCGGAACCGAACCTGGGACCCGTCAGTCCGCAGGCCGACGCTCTATCCACTGAGCCAAACCGGTTCCGGCATATCTTGAATATATCTATTCTGCTTTTCAATCCACCTATGGAATTCTTTATTTCTGTTATATCTCACTGTGAATGAACAAATAGAGGGTGTTCCCTCCCCCCCCAAAAAAAATGTATACACACGCTTTGAATAATGATAAGGGCGGTGTCGATTAAGATACACCTCATTGTCAAAATGGAGCTGTCCGCTGTGACCATGCGTGTGCATTTTGTCGGGGACACGCCGTCGAGCGAGATTTAAAGGCTGGAGCTGATGGTCTCATCCCCTTCTCCCTCTCCTCGGAATTTAATGTTTACTTTATGTTGATTAAAGTGGTTTCGGAGTGCGGCGTTAGGATCTTTATCTCCACACCCACTTTGAAATTACCAAGATATTGCTCTGTCTCATTCGTCTGGAATTGCGCTTTTGGTTTCCTTTTGAATACTATGTTTATGTAGAAGAAATGGCAGGAAATTGATTTTTTTTTCACTGGTCTAAACTTCAGGCTTTTTCTTTTTTCTTTCACTTTATTGCGATGTAGGCAGACGGAACAAGGTGATGGTTTTCCTGGGAGTCTACGGAGGCTTACAGGGGGCGTGCCGTTGGTGACAGCAGCACCTAGAATAGAATTCTTGTTCCAGACACTTAGGAGCCCGACTCAACGGCCTCCTCCTGGTCATCTCACTGTTGCCCCGGTGGTTTCATAGATGAAAGAACTGCGCCCTGCCCGGCCGGTGTGGCTCAGTGGTTGAGCATCGACCTATGAACCAGGAGATCACGGTTCCATTCCCGGTCGGGGCACATGCCCGGGTTGTGGGCTCCATCCCCAGGGTGGGGCGTGCAGGAGGCAGCCGATCCATGACGCGCTCTCATCATGGATATTTCTCTCTCTCTTCCTCTCTCTAAAAAGCAATAAAAACATATTTTTTACAAAAGACGGTGGGCAGCAGATAGGAGACACGCACATCTCTGCACAGAGCAGTGAGTATAGGGACTGAATCCCCGACAAGTGGGACGCCAGCGTTCCCGTGTCGGGAGGAAGGCAGGGGCACCAGGAGACAGAGAGCAGGGGAGGGGGGGGGGCTGTTGGTGGCCTGTGATCCATGGACAGGACAGGGCAGACATGGTGCCCAGGGTTCCTCTGGTCTCACAGGCGTGGGCTTCCGTCCCGATGGGGGCTGGAGGGAGATGGGGGTGATGGTTTAAAGTGCGGTTTCCTTCTGCACCGCCTGCCCCGTGTGGGAGGCAGGAGGGGACGGCTGGAGCTCGGATGGCTTCATCCGCTGCTGGTATTGTCTCGACTTCCAATAGCTCTTGACTCCTGAAAAGCGTCC